CTCGCTGCGAATTTCTGGGCTCGCGTGCTGGGAGTGGCTCCAACCAGCTTGCGGAGCCACTGAGTTGAGCAGGCCTGTTGAATCATCAGTTGTTCATCCAGACTGGCGTATCAGTGGATATTTGACAGTACATCGGCCGAAGTCGGCTTCAATTCAAAAGTTTTCCATCCAACTGCCAACCCATTCATCACCAAACACGTGTTCATTTGATAAATTGTTTTATTTTCGACCAAATGCAGAGAATTTTTGTTGATTATACACAAAAATCATTGAAAATATTGATTTTCTATTTTGAACTCTTAGAAAATTGCACGTATTTTCTAGTTTGTTCATATGCGCTTTCGAACTCGTGGAATATCATAATCAAACCTGAATTGCTTTAATTGTTTTCCATCTGTCTAATAAAATTAAGTAAATGGCAACAAGGTGAGAGTGCTTGTTGTGCTAATACAGTTTGAAGTGATTTGATTTTTCAAGTCATTTCTGTTTGTTTTTTTTAGTACAAGAAATGCCTTTGTAGTCCTCGAGTCCAACTGCATAGAAAGAAAGGAATGTGTGTATGTCAAGAAAAATTTCTTGATTCTTACAATTCTTAGGTGTTTCAAGAAGACAAAATGCATAAAATCCTTTGAGAATCTGTGATAATTCATCTATTATAATGTTTCATATTCAAGAATTCTTGTATTCCTGCATAATCATTACCTCACTTATGGTATTTCTTGTTATTAACTAGCACATGTAATCAGAAAAAAATCACATTTTGTATAATGTCAATAATGTATACAAAACATTTCACAATTCACGTTAAACAAAAATGCAACAAAGAGAAATAAGAAATGTGTAGAAGATAGAAATTTAAATTCAGAGTGAATATGCTCATAAGGTTTTTCTGTAGTGTTCAATTTTATGCACCAGTATAGACTGTGATGAAGCATTTCAGCTAGAGAGTGTAATATCATTTTTCAAACCTAATTCCTTCCTGACATGTTGATTATTTAAAATAGTGTTTTCAAGATTTTAATTAGTTATTGTCTTTTATTATGTGCTAAAATTCAGTGAAAAACATTTGTTGAATTAAAGCAATGTTGGGCCCAATCAATATTGAATATCTTTAAATTAATATAATGATCATATCTGCATTCATCTTATCCATTGCATGTGCCCTTTTAATAATAAAGCTGTGAATGTAAACATTTTAAATGTAATTTTTCTCAGCAATAGCATTTGTATGTTTCATTCGAATGAAAAGCATTGTGCTATAAAAATGAAGTAATCATGCATAACTGGTTTTGAGGTTGTTATTTTACTATTGTTTGCTGTGAAATTTTATAATTATTTTAACTAATAAAATGTTATATACAAGTATAGAAATAAACAATATATTCAATTTGTTTCATATATGTAATTAAAAGTGACTGATAATGAAGCTATTCCCACTCTTCCAAAATCTAAAATATCACCTAAACCACAGAGAAAGTGTCACAAATATTCAGCCAGTTTAAAGTACTAAGGACATCAAGATAGATCACACAATGTTTACATACAATGTACTGGAGGAGTTACTAGATAGGAATGAAATAAAAATAAGAAATGCAACTGGGCATCTGATTTGAGATGTATTTTATATATTTCTTTCCCATACTGTAAATATTTTCACATTATCCAAAATGTTTGAAAAATATCAGTGAAGGTAAATCCATATAATTCAACCAGAGGACACACATGAATGTGAAATCAATGAGAACTGCATACTAGTGTTTCAAATGGAATACTGAGCTACATCACACTAAATCAATACCCTGGAGTATTAGTACACATATTCAAATTTAATGTAATTAAATGAACATGGTTACAAATTGTAAAAAGCTGTAAGTGCTGTGTGAAGTCTTAAGTGCTACATATGCATAAGAAAATATAATTAAGGCAAAGAAAATACAAAATAATTACCTAAAAATTTGATTGAAATAAAATTTTAAACACCTCTAATCGCAGCCTTACTTACTGATGCATGCAGCTCTCAGAGACATATCTGCCAATTGTTGTAATACAATAAGAGTAAAAGAATATGAGAAAAAATTTCTCCTGTATAAATTCATGAACAATTGTATCAATAACACTTTTTTGTATGTGTTAGGTACACATACACAAAGATGAAACACTAATGTTGTACTTTATAGTGGTGGAATGTTGTATGCATTGCATTCTAACTTATTATGCATTTGCATAATATATTGCATTATACTTGGCAATGAATTTGTATTGCCCTTCCTACATTAAATAAAAAGTATGACTCTTCAAGGGGTAGTTGTTGAACGAAGGTCTTACTAACAGTCAAACAACAGTGATGGTTGGCAATGTTTTGTAATAATTAAATAGATCCAATATTGATTACTTTGTGAAATGATTTTCTCTAAATGTAGTACATCATTCTTTGTAACATTTTGAAGTCATGTTGGCTTGAAGGGAATATATTGTTTCATATAATTTACACCAAAGAAATCAATGGTAAACGTCATTGACTTAGAGCATTCTCCTTGTCAGTGAACTTGCTCTAAATGTATGAGAAGCATTTCCAAAATAGGATTGTTTCTGAGGTGTCAAAGAAGGGGGAAGTTAATTGCTGCAACAGATATAAGAACACTAAAGGTATTATATCTTACACAAATCTTTCAGGTTTCCTTTCAGATGGATTGAATTTAAGTGATAGGTAAGTTAAATTAAAATTATATAAAAAAAATTACAATTGAAAATTAAATTTATGCCATTGAAATTATAAAATTATCTACATCAGTGTGCTGATGTGCATTATCTACATCAGTGTGCAGATTAACCCCCTTATGTAGATGCATGCATACACCATGCATTTCAATTGAAGTAGAAGTGTTTTAATGGATTCAAAAAATCACTTGTGTTTTTATAAACTCATAATAATAAAACACTTTCTTCCAAATTTATAAACAACGTTGTTTAAAAGAATTTAGTTCAATTATCTTCACCATACATTTCATGCCTGATGATTCTAATCAATGTAATGCAAATAAAATGAAATAGAAAATGATTCTGAGATAACAATTCGAATGAAGGTTGCTTCACTTTAATCTTCATAGCAAACTTAATTAATATCATGAATTTAATCATTATTATTATGTTCTTGTTTTTGTGAGTTCTAAAAAAAGTGTAATACCCTACACAATTCAGAAGAAAGCAGAACACTAATAATTTTAAGAGAGAATTTATGAGTTTATTTACAGTAAGATCAGTGCTAGGTAAATGAGGAAATAGTTTTATGTGCATACTGCTGTGTTAGCGCTTCTATACATTTGGGTTATTGAAATTCGCTCCAATACTAGCAGTGCTCTCTGCCCGCAGAAATATGAAATTGCATATTACCCAGAGCCCCACAGCCTGAAATATACAATGACGTCACTCTCGGTCACGTTTGAGCGAAGTGACGCATGGGAGGGGGAAGCATGACCCACTAGCCCGTTCAGAGGCCTGGCTCTGGCGCAATTCCCCGCGAGACGTCGGCCGGGCGTGGCGGCGACGTAGTGCAGAAAACATGGCGGTTGCCAACAAGGAGGCGGTAGCGTCCGTCGCGACAACAGAATCCGAGGAGTCAACAGCCGGGCCAGTTGTGCCGCGCCAAACTGCTGGGATGAGCATTTCAAACATGCTCTACAGCTTCGGGAAGAAACTAGGCACCGTAGCCGCAGTGTATCTTCTAGGCTACTTCGATTTGAGTTTCGCGTGGTTACTTGCACCTGTATTGTTGTCAGTTGTTCGCGACGAATGGAAAAAAGATCATGAAGCACGGAGATGCATCGCTAAAGCAGCAGCTACTCGCAGTGAGCGAGAAGTGATACTTGCACGGGTGGATGACCTCCCTAGCTGGGTGAGTCGCTTCTTCACGCACCCCTGCGACGTTTGACAGTTGTACATCTGGTTCAACCGGCAGTGAGGAACTATCACTCTGACTTTGCGATATAATATCATCGCCGTTTTTCTCTCTATTGAAATAAACCGCAAATGTGACATGTTACTTATTTCTACTTTAGAGTTATCTGCAACGGCACGATTGTTCACACGACAGTTGTTTGTTATTAACGACCTAGTGTACTATTTTTGTTAAATTATTTCCATCGGTGGAATGATTTTCACAATTTTAATGATGTCAATTAATCCGAAAAGTTAGGATTTGGTTTTGCGGTATGTTGTGATATGAATATGCTGCCTTTCCACAAAAATTGTTGTAAGGCATTTTACAGGCACATCGGAGATTAATCACGTACCTATTCATAATATTATTGCGTTTGCCTTTATGAAAATTCTACGTGACAGTACTCCCGCCGTTCCCGGCTTCCTGTGACACGCTGTGATTTTATTTGGCTGTGATGTCACGTCGCGAACGTATCATAACCTTAGAGGACGTATCACCGTGAACGGCTGCCAAGGCGCGTTATTCAATTACATACCCATTCTCAATTGCCTGGAATTGCTAGAAAGGATATATCTAGTATTAAAGTTCAAATGTTCAGTGGTCCTCATGAAAAGTGACTTATAATTGGTTGTAATGTTACAATTGCCTGAAAAGTCAGTTTCCAACGTGAAGAAAAACATTTCCCATTGAAAATACTTTATTGTACCTATCAAAACACTATCGGGCGCAATTTTGATTATGAATGTCTTTCGCGTTGACCGACGATGTGTCGCAGCAGAACATGATGTTGAGTAATTGCGAGGACTGCTGATATGCCGTACCAAGTTGCGGACGATGCATTTACTTGCATCGTGTTATTGAGCGTGGGATGCCACAATTGCCTCTCATATATGGGACTAGCAGAACTGATTGTAGGAGATTTATGATGACATCTGTGCTCGTTTTGCAACCTGAACATCTAATAGTCTTCGACTAATGTATCGTTAAGAAGAGGAGAGAATATTAATAAAACGTTTTGATAAATAAATATCAAATGGACAGCTCTTAAAGGAGTTATTTTTGAACTTATGTTTCTCATTTTCAAGTTAGACTACCTTTTTAGTTATTGCTATAATAAAAAATGCCCACATTTTTTTTGTAGTGTCACAGTGAAAGCCTTGAAATCCTATTTGTTAGGAAAATATAAAGATTAAGGAATGGATGCAAAATATCCACTTATTGAATGGATTTTAAATGCACAAATGTTTGGTAATCCAGAAAGTTGTGTGTTAAACATATGATTTATTCTAGTGGACTACTCTTCTCATTACTTTCTGAGAAACTATAAATTACTGATTATGCATGTCTGTGAATATTGTACCAAGAACTTGGATTTTTTTAATGCAGTTTTTAAGAATTTGAAACTATTTATTCAATTTTTGTGGATACAAATTTCCTGATTTCACTTGTTTTGTGGTAAAAACTGGAGTGAACATTTGTGAGAACAGTATGAGAAATTTAAAGTCTTGTACATTTGCCAATCTCAATTTCGTATGTTGAAAACTCTAAGAATTTTCCTTTAAAATGATACTCTCTCTGCAACCTGCAATACCCTAAAATGAACATCGTTCTGCAATATAGTGTTAAGTTTTGTTTCATATCCTACAATTTTATGTACATCCCCCTGAAATGAAAAAAATAAAATGCATAATTGTATTGCTTAACTTTTTAAAAAAGCGCACTACACAAAATATTTTTCTCTTCCCAACTTCATTTTTCTATTTTTTAAAGAGAAATATTGTATTTTAGAAAGTAAATATTTAGACCCTCTAAATCAATTACCCTGATGTGTTGTATTTGTTTATAACTAGCAGCATTCATGTGAATTCTTCATTAAATAAAAATATAATATGATTTGTTAATTCTGATCTGCATAATATACCACAATCCTGTTAGATTATTAACTTCTAAATATCAGATTTTTTTCTGGACAAATATGAATTAATTAATGCTAATCTGGATTATTAAATGAAATCTATTGTTACTGCAGTTGTTTGACCAACTGGTTAGCTAGACCTAGTTGGAATTGCTTAATTAGTTTTTTGCAATTTCTATTTTTTATTTATTTCTTGTCAAAATGTCTTTCAATTCTGTCAATTTCTTTCTTGTCTTGGGGAGAAAACCACCTGTTGCACTTTGCCCCATATTTAACTTGTTGTTTGGAAAATGGTTATTAAAAGCTCTTAGATATAACATTTTACAGTGTTAAAAGGATAGTTGTATGTCTATTTGGTATGTAATGCTGATTACATTAAACAAAAAAAATTATGAATTTTTGATTTGTGTAGTCTGTAATTTTTGATTTGTGTGAACTGTAATTTTTGTCTTTTCATGCGTTTTGAAATGTACTTCACGATTTCCTTATCCATTTTCTTCTTTTAGATATAATGCTAGTTACTCCCATTTCCTTAAACCACTTATAAACATCACTAGGCCAGGCTATTCAAGGCATTTTTCTGAGCCTGTCAAAATTTGTGCCTTTGATTTGGTATATCATGTATCAATTTACTCTTCACAGACAAGTAACCCTTCAGCTGTTAGCATATCCTGCTCATTTGGCATTGGTAATATTTGGCATATTTTCTACTTCTCCAAAATCTCCAGTTTGATACATTATTATAATTATTTTCTGTTTAAACTTTTATTAAATGTAAAATTGAATAATCTCTACATAATCACTGGTATAGCAGTAATAATTTAATGACTTGACTTGTTATTCATGAGAAAGAAAATCTCAATAGTACTGTCAAGTGCAATGGTAAGAGGTTTGGCAAACACCTAATATGTTGAGTACTTCATTGTTAACATTAGAATGAGAAGTTAAAATACAACTTTCAATATTTTTTAATGATAAAGTACATGCAGATAAATGTTACGGAGATTATATTTCTAGAAATTGTTTTATTTCAAAAGTGCCCATTTGTCATTATAATCATGTTTTTTTTTCATTTCAGGTGTATTTCCCTGATGTTGAAAGAGTTGAATGGCTTAATAGAGTAAGTGTTTTCTTCTCAAACTTCTTTCATTTTGTCATATTTATTGTAACATCCATCTATGGAATATGTAACAAAAACATCAAAGAATGTATGCATCTGTGCAATGATATTATGTAATGCTAATATGTTTATGTATCATAATTGACAAGCTTTAAGAATTCAGATATTGATAAGATTCAGATTTATGGGTGAAGTACGTTTGGAAAATGCATTGTTCAAATGTTTTTTATAAGCATGTGTTGTGTGGCAAGAATTTGAAATTGCTACTGGCAGATCCTTTTTATATATTATGTATTATTTTTTATATTACATGTTTTTTATATTATTGTATATTTTCCCCTCATCTCCCTGTCTTCAGATATCAGTATCATAATGTTGAATTATGTCTTCAAAACCATTTAACTGAATCAGAACCTTCAAGGAGTTCAAACTCATCGGTCTTACTCATCTGTAATTTAGTTATATAATAATTATTATTGTTATTGTTATAGAAATCTCAATGTTTTATAATATTTATGTTCATTAGGCCTTTTATGGATTGTTAAAATATATTAATTTCGTACAAAATTATTGTATAATTAATTGTTTGGTAATGCATTGTATTACACAGGTTTGTTTTATGGGGCATATGATATTTGATATTATATTAAATGTTTGAAGTTATTAGTTTTCTTATTTTGGCATGGAAAAGTAGAAAATTTGTAAGTGACTCTTCTCCTGTCTTGGGTTTATTCTAAAGTAAAGAATACATCATTCTAAAATGTGGTTTTGACTTACAAGAAAGATGTAGTAAGCAACAACAAACATCAGTTTGCTGAAGTTTTATTGAGTATCTGGAAAATAATAATAATAATAATAATAATAATAATAATAATAATAATAATAATAATAATAATAATAACTGATTATTATTAATAATAGTAAAATAATAATAATAAATAATAATAATAAAAGTAAATAATAATAATAAAATATTATAGTATATTTATGATATTATATATCAGTCTTCAGTCTTTCTAGTATATTTTTATCAGTGTTGATATCTCTCTGAGGTACTGGGTAATTATTTTCTTGAATGTGAAATTGCAATTTTTCTTTTCAAATTCAGCATTGTTTTTCATTTATGTTACAGATTCTAAGACAGTTATGGCCAAATGTCAACCATTATGCTCGAACTTTGTTGAAAAACTCTATCGAACCTGGTGTACGAGATAGCCTTGCTCAGTACAAGCTGCAAGGATTTCGCTTTGAGAAAATGGTTTTAGGAAATATTGTAAGTTTATATTTTGTTATTTGAAAGGAAATATAAACAATAACTTGAGTCTGTGGATTTTCTTTGTTTTTAAATAAAAAGTACATCTTCAAATTGAAATAAATCAAATTGCTATGTATAGTCTAGAACTTGAAAGAAAGTAAGTTTGAAATATTGCTGTTTCTTGAATTTCCTCTTCAGACGTACAGTATTTTGTTTCAGCCTATGAGGATTGGAGGAGTCAAAGTTTATGATTTAGACCTTCATCGTAAGGAGATCATGTTGGATATGGATTTATTGTAAGTTTATACCATTACAATATTGATTATTAGGACTCAAATTTTACTTCAGAACTCAATATATTATTATTTTTTTGTGATTTTGGTAGACATTTTAGATGAAAGTATTAAAAATATATTAGTACCATAAGGTGGGGTGAATCTGATCAACAATTTAAGATTATTTACGAAATATGATGTTAATTTCTGTCATTTCGTATTACCGTTTGGAATTAATAATGACTAAACTTTGAAGGAAGGTTACATTTAAATGAAATTAATTTACATTTATATTTTACATCTTATTATTAATATTTTTGGGGGTTGAATCCGATCACATACTTATTTGTGCTATTAAATCGAAAAATGCCTTCAATGTTTGAATCTAATCGTTATTTAGGTTTTTAAAAATGTGTTTTTGTGTTCACTGCCAGAAAAAAGTTTCTTCACATTTATAAACAGTCTAAACTCAACATATAAACCAACTTATCATTGTCAATAAAGTTTTGGAAAAGTTTTAGAAACAAAGTAATTTATTTACATACAAATAACATTTATCACCAATAATCAATTTTGGAACTTGTAATTTCATTCACTGTAGTCATGAAATTTGAATGAACTAAGATTAAAACATTGCAAGATCGAACCAGCCACTCTGGTTTCTGTTGCAACCTGCACCAGAGTTGCCACCTTCAGTCAAAGTATCATAAAGATATTTTGCTTCATAAACAGTATAGGGTGGAAGCACTAGTGCCATCAGCTGCTGCAGCTGCGAACATTACACTGATACTGGTCTTCGAGTTGTTTACTATCCGCTCAGGATGTCTTGCTCCTCGCTTCACAATGATTTTCACTTGACCGTCACTAAAGTTTGTTCCATCTTAGTTTATTATATTAGTGGGAGGAATTGCATCCAAGGATACTTCAAGGTTCTTATTATAATCCCTCATAATAGCACAGATTATTGCTGCTCTTATTCTTTTTGTTTTCTCCCATGCTGATAGTGGCCTCTTTATTTCTTATCAGAAATCCTCTTGCGCATTAAGGATCTGAATGATTGTTGCAAAATCTCTTTTCAACCCGGCCTTCTCTATTCAGATCATCTTGAACACTATATTTTACATCCGAGTTCTGTTTAGGAAATCACCAATTTGCACAACATAAAATTTACTTGACCAGACTTTCCTCCTCAAAAGAAGTTACTGCTGCTTGTTCACATATTTTTCGTGTGTACTTATTTTTAAGTTTGTCATTTAATTTTGTATAAGGAATGAATGACATATTGTTCAGAAGCTTTTCTGATACTTCATATACTTGACTTAACTGCTTTTGCAGCATCAAGAAAGTATTGCGGGTTCTAGTTGCATTTGTGTGTTCGTCTTACAATGTTCTCTTAAGTCAGCATGATCGGATTCAGCCTACATAATTAGAAGATTATCATTAAACAATTATAACAACGAACATCATTTGAATATAATAACTGAAATCCATATTCTTATTAAAGAGGGTTGGTTAAAAAGTAAACATATAAAAACTCACTGATTTGAAATACAGAAAGAAGTAGATAAACTATACGTTATTTTATGTTCTTTGCTTATGTATTTCGCAACGAAAGTTGAGAAATACTGAAGCTTTACTAACAAAGGCAGTGTTTCAACGTACTAGAACAAGTGCATTGTTGTAGATAATTTATTCAAAAATCACAAACATCTATGGCTTTCGTAATTCTGATTGTAATGCCAACCATACATTTATTGTTGGAAATTGCACGAATGATCAGATTCAGAAGACTTGATTGGCTTCACCCCACTTTACGGTATTTGTTTCAAAGATGTTATAAATGCAATTATAATGCAATGTGGATATTTATGTACTAGTATTTGAGAATGTCCAAGAAATGTATGAAACACATCTGTGCAGTATACTACAATGAAAAATTTCTATAACTTAAAAGGAAATGAAAATATGCCTAAAATTATGGGGCAATTTCTTTGTAGTTTTAGTATATGAAGAATACCCAGGTATTTTTGAAATTGTTACAAACCTATAATTATGGTAGGTTTGGTTGAAATTGTTAATTCAATTTTGAGAATTTTACGTATTTCTGCATTTCATATTGGCAGTAAAATTTTTGTACCGTCAGAGTCAGATTTTACTATTGTTAGTTTTAAAAGTGCTAACAAACTGTTATTTCTCTTGGTAATTCTAAAATTGCTGAAAAATTGTTTGTAATGTAAAAATCAGTATTATTTTTGAAAAGGAAACATTAAGGTTTGCTGAAAATAGAAGGTACCTAAGAGATGAAGTTCACATCAGTTTCATCAATTTAGGAAAGTCGTAGATCAGTGTGAATTGCTAATGTGCATACCTAGTTATATTAAGAGATAAAATTCACTTTGGCAAGAAAAGGAGCAGTAGTTGATTAGGTGTTTAGTGATATCGTAGAGAAAGGATAGTGTTCCTTGCTCTTTGGTAATATTTAGGAAGTTTAGTGATGTCTGCAACATCTTCAAATGAATTGACAGGAATAACTCGTGTAAGAAGAATTATGAGGAGATCAATCCAAATAAAAGGCTCGCCAAGCATGACAGTCAAGAAAGGCTAAAAAATGATATAACAGGAGAATATAGAACAATTTCTGTTTAAATACCTTGCTTGCTAAATAAGAGCCTTTGGTATGTAAACAGGAGGTGATGTGATGTTAGGGGAAATTAACAAATATTTTAATGGCAATAGTAAAAAAAAATGAGTCATTAAATAGGACGAAAAGGATTCGCCAGTATTAGCTTATCGAATTGAAATCTCGCCGCCGTTCACGGTGACGCATCCTGCCAACTTTTCACCAGAGAAGGGATTTCGGATCTTTTATTGGAGGGGGGGGCAAAGGGTTCCCCGCATAAGATGGTAAACAATTTCCCGTAAACCAAATAGCATATGAGTTGTTACACTATAATTTTAACATTCAGACATGGTTTTGAAAGATTTCTCAGCCCCCTCCCAGCACCCACACCCCTCTACAGCCAAAAAAGTGTTTAGTTGACGAAAAAATAAAAATTAAAAAAATTGATTTCATTTTATCGAAAAAAAAATATGAGAAATAACAAAATAATTTATACTATCAGAAAAACTTTTTGAGATTTTCAATGCCAAATTCAAACGCAATTTTTTTAATTAACAAAATATTTGTGACTGTCTAAGAACCCTGGAACAGGCTTGAAAGAAATCTCAAAAGTTCTTAAAACACAAAACGTGGATATTTTTTTAGAATTTTTCGATTGCCGAGGTGTAGTTAAAAAAACAATTTTACCATTTTCAATCACATTTTGAAAATGTCTGCAACAGTTCTGTGCATTTATTTGAGTGTTTATTATATATTTGTTATGAAAATTGTTGTTCAAAAAAACCATAAAACTTATCTGAGTACAGACATTATGATTAAAACGACATATTCGCTTTTATAATACAGTAAAATCTCCCAAAGCCGGAAACCTGCTTTAACAGGAAAATATATCCGGCCCGTGAATTTAAATAGTAATTTACACAACATAAAACGGAACCTCTCCAACGCGGAAACGGAATGGTTTTCATGTCTTGCAGGAAAAAGCAATCTTTATAAAACGGAAGTGAATTTAATGCTCTTGGCAGAGAGACGCGAAATGTTCTTAATGAAATGAATGCATCTGCAAGCATGTTTAAATTCTTTATCCCCATGATACTCAATTTAGTTGTGGCAGCCGGACATTGAGGGATTTGAGCTAACGTTTAATTCGATCTTGAGGGTCACTTGTCTCTCAAGGCGCAGGCCGTAGGGGAACTTCCTGTATCTCGACACTCCGAGCGTGGGAGAGTGTACGGGCACGGCTTCTATTCACGCGTCTCCCTGCCCCGCGTTGAAAATCATAACCTCTCGAGCAGATGCTCATTGCTCAAGTCCATGCAAGAGTTTCAGAAAGTCATAGTGCTGGGTTGTGACCCATTGAGAGTTGAGTCAGCAAGCAGTCCGAATACAGCCACTAGGTAGTAAGGTGTGTATTTTTCAACTCACAAGCTGATTATGAAGAGTGTTTATTTGTTGAATATTCTGAATATTCATTTGTTGGTGATTTCTTCCATGAAAAACGTTATGTTATCGCATTTTGATAATTATAATAAAGTCATGTAATTTAGGCCTATTATTTTCAAGGCGGAAATATCAATATTAATCACAAGTGTCTTAAAATGGACAACCTTGCATAATATGGAAACCTCCCTAAACCGGAATTTGTTGTGCTCCGCTCGATTCCAGCTTAGACACATTTTACTGTAGAAATGTTAAATTACAAAACATTGAATGTAACAGAGAATATTCAGTGGAGAAACATGTTCGTTTTTCTCAGTGTACATTTGGCATTAAACAAATTTGCATTAGTTACAATATATCTTACATTATAATGGATAACATACTTACAAAATATAATAGTGTTTTACTCTTCTGAGTCGTATTTTTCACTGTATCACTTTTTCAAAAATTGTAAACGCAGTTTTTGATCTCTGAACACACCGTATGTTCATGCTAGAACTGCCGGATAACAGAGAAGTTAGTCACTCGGTGACTTTGAATTGGTACGTTCCGCAATGTTGACGATCGTCTTCATTTGAAGATCCGTTAAAGAAAATCGTTTTACATAGAGAACGGTCTAAAATTTTCAGTTTGTCAGCCAACTACGCTTGCATAGATTACCTGTAATGTTGAAAACACGACTTATCGCATCGCAAAATTGGTGCTTCTCGCGAAACGACGTTTTGCGGGTACGAAACGTTGTTTCGCGAGAAACACCAATTTTTCGGAATTCGAAATATTAAAAATGCTAGGAAATTTGTAATGGAAATAATTTATGTAATTATAATTTTCGTATGCTCCTTGCAATTCTAAAAATATGGTACATTATATTTAACAAAATATTATTTCAGACTATTACATTCAATTTAGGGCATGACGGGTATGGATGGTCTGAATAGTTGGCATTTAGTACAGCTCTCAT